GAGTTGTTAGTCACGGGAAAAAGCTCTAATGCAGATGGGAGGAGCAGGAAAACATCTTAGTATCTCCTGAACATGTCTAGGCCACGTCTAAAATAGCTGGGGTTTCACTGGAGAAGAAAAAGACGATTGGAACTTGGCCAAAAATGGAGAATGAAGCAGGAAGATGAAGTGAGGCACTACACTAGGGTTTGCCTTCAATTTGTCAAAGATGGAGGAGAAGCACAAAAATTAGCAATGTAAAAGGGGGAAAATTCCAAGATTTTTCCCCTTAAAAGCATTCCAATGTTTAGAAAGGGAGGGCTCTAGCTCATTTGACACTACATTTAGGCTTAGGTGCAGTGACTCTAGCTCATTTGACATTGTACTCGAGTCATTCAGTGCATTACTTCTGGGTAATGACCTAGGCCTAGCACAACATTGTTGTGTGTAATTCATATGAAAGGTTTTGACAAGTTTTACGTGAGCTACTGAAGGTCAAACAATTCTCCTCCTTTACTTGGGTTTGGGACCAGCTATGGACCCATAGGCAGAGTTATTGCTTTAATTTAATATGCCAGAATAATATTGTAGAAGTGAAATTCTTGAACTGTGAAAAAAAAATGGTAGAAGGAAAAAGTTTGGAATATGCCAGAATAATGTCTGTTTTTATTTATTTAGTTTTTGCTTATTTGAATACATTTTGTTATGCGATAACAGATATCTTCTGCAATATGTTTCTTAACAGGCAAAGCGTACGAAGCTTTAGAAAACCGTGCCCAGCACGACTTTGGTGAGTGAGTATATTTGAAGCATTTTGACTGTTGTCTTCTAACTATGGATATTTAGAAAAATGGTGTTTTATTGATTTTCTACATTTAAATTTAAGGAGGGGGTACTGTTGCTTATTGCTTTTGAGAAGAGTTACAAAAGCGTGATCCATTCCAACTTGATTAAAGAAAAAGCTCACTTTCTTTGCTCTGTTTGTTTTTTTTAAAGGTATAAAGCTGCGATAAAAGCAGATCCTTTATGCTATGAGGTATGCATTTATATTCTGATATCTTTACTCTTGTAATGCTGGGATCTGTCTTCTGAGACTTGCTCATTTGGTTGGGATATTTGCTTGCAATTTTTTGATAGGGCTTTCAACATCATCTGATGGAACACCCCTTTCCCTTTCCCTGCCCCATCCTTGACCACCTTTAGGCACTGCACTAGCAACCTAAAAAAATGCTTACATCCCTTAAACTTCTGTAACAGCTATTACTGCAGAAACTGTGTTTATTTTTGTAACGATAGTTTCTTTGAAGTGGTAATTTATTCAATGTAGATTGTACATCATATCCAGTAGCCTTTAGCTGAGCTTTATAGTGCTTTAATTTATTTTTCCATTATGCAGATGGGAAAGTATCATTTGTAGTATATGTACTTGCATATTATTCTCATACACTAGTTATCTAAATTTTCCTTGCTGTTTGGCAATAATTTTGTCAGGCTTTGGAATGTCTTATTGAGAATCACATGCTTACATGCGAGGAAGGTAGAAGTTTTCACATATCCATTGGAAATTTCTCTAATTTTTATTTTCTATCTTTAGCGAAATAGGTTCAAGAAGCAGATTCTCTAATTCAGAAATCATCTTAATATATATCTGTCTTCCTTTTCTGTATGGGGAATATCAGAAGCAAATTTGATCTCATCATTGCAATTTGGTAATGAGGATGGATGGCTCTCATCATTTTATTCTTGTTTGATAAAGAAGGTAATATTGGATTTCAAGTGGAATTTGCTTCTATCCAAATTTTTATACTGATGAAAGATTAATCCCTTATTTGTTATGCAGTATGACAAAGAAAATGTTGTAGAAGCCAAGTTCAGAGATCTTGAGAATGAAAGCTGTAAAAGTGACCAATCTGATCCTTCTTTCTTGCGCACGCTAAAAGCCAACACTGATCTATTGTCCTGCAAATCTGAATACTACCATCAGTGTGGTGAATATCAGAAATGTTTTGAGTTAACTTATGTGTAAGTTGGGGATCTGATCTGGAGACTGAAGTGAGAGTGATAAATGGCTTTGGCTTTTTGCATCATTCAGTGCTCCCATTATGTTCTCTTCTTTTCTTTTTTACTTAGCTTAAACACTTCTGTTACAGTTTGCTTGAGAGGGATCCTTTCCATCTCAAGAGTACGTTAGTACACCTGGCTGCTGCTATGGAGCTTGGGCATTCAAATGAGCTGTATCTGATGGCATGCCATTTGGTGAAGGATTATCCTCAGAAGTAAACACTTTTCCATAATGTTTCTTGTCTTAAGATTTTGCTACATATAAGTTCTTTAATTAGACTTTTGCTTGATATTTATATTTATAGTTGTCTTCTAAAGCCTTTTCTATGCATACAATGAGATTTATTGATGTTGTTTTAGGGCTTTATCATGGTTTGCTGTTGCTTGTTACTACTATTGTATCAAGAAGTATGATCAATCCCGCCGTTATTTTAGGTAAACATAACTTGTTATCATAGTTATATAAGACTAATCTTGAAGGAATATGATTCAGTTTTTTTGTTTTTTTTGTTTTTTTGCATGTCAACTATTATGAAATTTGACTGTTGGACTTTCTTATTGACTTGAGCTGACCATGTGCTGAAAAATTGTTATATTTCTTGTTAGAAAAATTAATGATTCTTCATAGCATCAGGTGATTTGTTATATTTGACATTTGATGTATAGATCAATGTTTCATAACAATGTTATGCCTGGGTAGTGGAGGATTTGTTCTGTTTAATGACATGTTACCAACCCAGCCATAATGCATATATAATTGGTCCTGGGCTTGTTTGATTGAAATGTGACCTGTTAAGTTTGAGTTGGTCATGTATCTCTGGCCTGAGTTGGATTGCTCTAGACACCAGTTTCTTTGTCAAGAACATAAATTGCTTGTCTAATGTATCATAAAAATTTTCTGTATAAATTTGGATTACCAACGGCTCCTTATTTATGCATCTGTTGCTATCGAAAATTATTATTAAAGCTTATTATTCAATTTCATTATGTACCATACAGCAAGGCTACTAGTCTAGATGGAACATTTCCCCCTGCATGGATAGGCTATGGGAATGCTTATGTTGCTCAAGAAGAGGGTGATCAGGCTATGTCAGCTTATCGCACTGCAGCTCGGTTGTTTCCTGGGTAGGATATTTGTTTTTTCTGTTAAATCTCCCCCTCCCCATCAAATCACAAAGCAGTAATCAGTATACAATTTCAATTTTCAAAGTTGTGAATTGTACACTATATGCTCACATGCATGTATGTGTCTCTTTTGTTTGTTTAAAAACTTAAGTATGAAATCCTCTTATTTTCTATAAATTGTTCTTTTACAAGTAGTTCAGGATTTTTTTTTTGTTTGACTTGGTGGGGGTGGACATGATTATGGGGTATGAATGGCTTAAAAGCCTAGGAAAGTTCAGTGCAAACCTGCGACAACACTTGATTGACGTGCACAAGGATGGAAGGATCATTGAGATCAAGGGGGACGTGGGACTGTCCAGAACTGTGGCTTCGCTCAAGGCAATAAGAAAAGAATTGAGGGGAGAGGCAGAGACTTATTATGTCGAATTAAGCATGATGACCATGGGCTATTCTGAAATGCCTACTTAGATTTCAGTCACTGCCTCTGAAGCTTTAAAGGAGTTATTACGAGAGTTTGGTGAGCTATTCAAGGAAGGAACTGCCCTTCCATCACAAAAAGAGTGTGACCATGCTATCGTCTTGAAGGAAGGAGCTACGATCCTTAATATTCACCCTTATCGACACCCATATCATCACAAGGAGATCGAAAAATTTGTGAAAGACATGTTGGCAACAGGCATGATCAGGTCGAGCACCAGTCCTTATTCTAGCTCGCTGATTCTAATAAAGAAAAAAGACGGTAGTTGGCATTTTTATGTGGACTATCGCGCTCTCAACAGCGTCACCATTCCAGACAAATTTTTTATTCTAGTCATTGAAGAGCTTTTGGATGAGTTGGGAGGGACAACTATCTTCTCTAAACTCGTCCTAAAATCAGGCTACCACCAAATACGCATGAGGCCAGAAGACATACCTAAAACAGCCTTTAGGACGCATAAAGAACACTACGAGTACGTGGTAATGCCCTTCGGGTTAACTAATGTTCCAACAGCGTTTATGTGTTGAATTTGACATTTTGTAAGTTTATGCTTTTCCAACAGCTTTTACTTCTAAAAAGGAACTTAAACAAATAATCATCATTATTAATGGAACCGATCTGCAATTTTTGTAATTTAAAAGTGAATAACTTTTTGTTGTCTATTTTAATTATTCATGAAACAATTCTCAACGACCATTTGTTGAAAGCCAAGTTAATACAACTATCCTGATTTAATAATTGTTTATTAACGTTTTCTTTATATATTTTTTTAAAATTAATGTTTAAGTCAAAATCCCAACACTCTTAATTAATACTTTGCTCCAACAACAATCTCTTTTACTTTTGCTGCTGCTTAAGCAAAGGCTAATTACAGGTCAAACACGTTATCTTACCTGAAAATTACATCAATACAGCAGCATAGACATAAAGCATGCACTTATTATGTAACGTATAATTGGGTTCCAAAACAACAAACATGGCACGAATCAGTGAATCCACACACACGCACCCTCACTTTTCCTACTTTATTAAGTGCCCCATTTATCACATGATTACACCAATAATTGCATTCTTTTTCTTTTACTCAAATATTTATATGTAGCTATATCAAAGGATATCTTTTATTTATTTTTTTATTGAGTAAATATGGTCTTTAGGCTTTCTAATTATAAGCTCACTTATGTCACTAATTTTATAAAAATATCACTTTATTTTTAAATTTTACAAATGATATTTATTTTAATCATTTTTTATATAAAATGACAATAAATATATCAACAGAAGTGATTTTTTTTAAAACGTAAAATTCAAGAGACTAAAATAAATATTTATTATTATTTTTAATTATTTAACATGATTATTTGGAGAAAGGACACCCTCGAGAAGTTGCTGAAGTGTCCTTCTTCTTGTCTGTGTGTGATCCAGCTGATAGAAGGTCTCCCATTAGCTGTGCTGGGTCGTAGTAAATCTCCACCTCTTCCACTTTCATAGTGTTGTCAACCTGTGAGGGGAACCAGTGCTCATGGTTATAGACAAACTCAGTTCATTTTACAATATCTTTGTCAGCAGTGTAGTAAAATCTCATCAACACTCATAGTTATTATATAGATTTTGCTAATCAATGCTTTAAGTCACTAGTATAAAGATTAAAAAATAAATTTATTAAAAATCACGTTTGATGTATATTAAAAAGGTAAGAGGGTATTATTAATAGTTTTTAATTAATAAAAAATTTTGCCTTTAATCTTTAATCTATGTTCTGAAAATATTGCTTATCATTTATTTATTTTATTTGAAATAATTTAATGTTGGACAAATATTTTGTTGTGGATTAATTGGGATCTTTTGAAAAAAAAAATGTTCTAATATTTTCAAACACGAGATTGTACACTTTTAGTCTTTTTGTTAACAATGGTACAACTTAATGGAAATTATCGATCAACATCTGTAACAATGTTTGTACTAGTAATTTGTTCCCTACTTATCACTAATTGTCTAGTTTGATAACCCAACTATAAGGGCCGTTAATGAATAGTTTACTCAACGTTATCATCATGTGTATAAAAAATAATAGAATTTCATGTGTACAAGTAAAGTTTCCCATAAAATATTATTGGAGATTTTTCCCTTTGTGGAAAGATAAAAGTAAAATATTTTCCCCTCCTTTTAGTGCTTATATTCATTTTTTCTAATTTGATTTCACCTATTAGAAACACTTTAGTAAAACCAAGCAGATAAGTTAATGAAAAATAAAAAAAATTATAAAAAAGTTGAAAGATGAAATAGAAAAATTTAAAAGTTAGTTGATCTAATTGAAAGTGTTCGATAAAATTAATTGTTAAAATAGTTTATAAATATAAAAAAAGAATATTATTAATTTTAATCCAGACTTTAAGATATGATAATTATATATTTTCAATAAATTATGATTTTTTATTTTAAAATAATTTTATTACATAAAATGAGGATGATATGAATTAATTTATATCATTATTTTAATTACTTTATATTATAAAAAACTTGAATGAACTTGTAATGTTTTAATAAAATTTATAGACAAAGATGATTTTAAAAAATTAAACGTGAAAAGGTAAATGTAGCAAATTTTCATAAATTGAAGGAGTAAAAGGAAGAATTATTAAAAAAGTAAAATTTATTTTGTTACAATCAATAATTTAAATTCTAAATTTTTAATTTGTTCAACTTGTTGTTCTATATTTACAAAATTATACAAAGAAATTCTTCTATTACTGAGATAATTATTTAATTATTTACTATATGTTTGTTTCTCACATGTTTGTACAATTTAAAAGATAAGGATTTAAATTGTATAAGATCAGAAAATACAGGAAAATAAAACATATTTTTTGTTCTTCTAAATTGAAATATTTTTGCCTAACAAATTATCTACGTGAGAATAAAATTGTTAATAGATAAAAATTAACATTTTAAAAAGATGCTATATTTCAATTACCTAACTAAATAAAAGAATTATTATTAAACAATTATTTTAACTAATAAAATAAAGTTTAGAAAACGATATATTGTCAACACAGACCTTGAGAGTTCCCAAGCCATAGAATTGAACGATGTTCCCTGTAGGGGCGTGTCCCTTGAAAGGACCTTCAAAGAAGCCCCAGTGCCTGAACTTGAAACCAATTTCCGGGGCTCCACTATAGACTTTGATCACTTCCCATGCAAATCCACGAGGAAAAGCTGATCTAAAGGCTTCATGGGACGATTCAAATGTCTCATCATCAGCTTTGTAATACTTCAATTCTTCTGGCAGAGAGTTCTTTAACAAAGCATTATAACTTCCTATGCTTAGAGTTTCCTCTGCAGATAATCCCTCTCTCCCTACCAATGAAATATGTTCAAATATTTTATCATATTACGACACAAATGAATCCTAAAACAACCAAGAATCAATGAAAAAGAACAACAAGTTTGATACAATTAAATTTTGTTTTTCTTTTCCCACGAAATAATAAGACCAAAATTTGGGTATTACAGTATCTTAAATAGTCTGTGTTATTTTTTAATTAAAAATATAGTTTTATTCTAATAATTTAAAGAAAAATAATGATTATGAGTGACATATTAAACCAAAATATCTAATGAAGTCTTAAAATTTTCTTGGGAAATTAAAGATGGAGTAATAGAAACTGTTTAACTTAATCTCCTTTTACCATTAACAAAGAGCTTGAACTTTTCAGGATTTATGGTCTTGAAATCCTGCAAACGGGTTTTGTGTGAGAGCTCCATCTCCCATGATTTTATGGCGTTTTGCACTGTCTCCTCTAATGATCCTTTTGGCCATTCCTGAAAAATACAAAAATTCCATTGTGACCATACATTATCCAGAGAACTAGAAAAATAAAATAAAAAGAGAATACACAGACCTTGGTTCGGCCATCTTCAAAGAGCTTGTTCACATCATCATATATCGGTGGTCCACCATGTCTCCACTGGATTGTATCAGCTTCATCATATAAGTAAGATCTGTATTTATCTCGAGGAACTTTGCCAGACACTACCACTTCGTTGGCCATGTCAAATTGAGGTGAAGTTTAGACACATAATACGAAACAACAACGTAATAGGAAAAGGGTGAGCATGTAATCTACAACATCAGAAATTTATATAAATTCTATCCCATGTTGTCATCTTTGATGGGTGATAAGATAAGGTTTTAATTTCCCAACCAAATAAGAAAAATGCATGTTGTGCACAGTGCAGACAAGACATTTAATTTCACACGTCTATCTAAATTATTTATACTGCCCCTTTTTTTCATAGACAGATATAAAACAAGGCTACAAATATTCTAGAGAAATATTTTTATACTGCCCCTATCATATTGTAGATGTTTCAGGTTTAAATTGAATCTCTCCTGTGGAGACTACACGTAATTTAAACCAAAAAAAATTATACATTTATTTTATTAAAATATTTCATTTTATATTTATTATTAATTTTTAAATTTTATTTTTAAATAAAAATAAGAAGATAATATTAAATTAAAAATTATATTATTTTCAGGAAAGTAGGCGCTATAAGAGTACTAAAAATGGGTCAAATTCTATATAATTTGTAACAATATTTTTCTATATCAATCTTGTTTAACAATAATGGAAAATCATGTTTTTCATTTCTCTTTTTGCAAAAAAAAAAATGCGATTAAGACTTTAATAGCTTAAATAAGATTTTAGTCTTTAAAAAAGTAACTTTTTTTATATTTAGTTTCTCCTTTTTATTTTTTTAATCTAGTCTCCAAAATTATTTTTATTTCTTATTCTTTATATTTCTAAATGAAAGTTTAGGTTATAAGATTAAGATTTTTTTAAAACGATATTTAAGAATATGAAGGGAATAAAGGCGTAAATTGATAAATTTGAGAATATATTATCATTGTATGAGTTAAATTGAATGTCACATCGGGGGATAATAAAGAAAATTAATAAATTACTTACAAAGGGTTGATATGAGAATAGCAATGATTTTTAGGAAACTTATTTAAAAAATCAAAAAGAAATAACCAAATAAATATATTGTGAATTTTAGAGGACTAAAGCCATAAAAGGGATTATTTGAGTACAAAAAATAATTTTTAGACAATTTGTTTGAAAAAAATTATTGGACTAAATTGAATGTTTATATAGGTAGATAATAGAAAAAAAATTGATAAACTACTTACAAAGGATAACATGAAAATGAAAAACAATTTTTAAAGACTTATTTGAAAAATTACCAATGAGAAACCAAATTAAAATATCACAAATTTTTTATAAGCATAGGCGTAAAATTTGTGTCATGCGTTACTTATACATAGGCTGTGAAAAACAAGGTTAAAACGGGAAACAAAAAACTAAGATATGTTCAACTTCATAAATTTATATTATATGCTAATAATTAGAAAATTGAAACTTAATATACAAAAGTTAAATTTAAGTCAATTTTTGTTTTAAATTTATAATTTTAAAATATTTATAATTTTTTTCATAAACAATATACAAAAATAATAGAAAACTTAACCATAGTTTTTAGAGTTGAATTTAGGTAATTAAAGCTAATAATTTTTATTAAAAAATTATTTATTGCATCAAAATAAAAAATAATAAAAATATTATTTTTTTCAATAAACAAATTATTATAAAATATTTAAGATTGGTTCTAAAACTAAAATTTAAAAAAAAAAATTAATAGCTATCATAATAGTCTCGATTTGACTTCAAGTTAGTTAGCAACTGCAAATGTTACAAAGGACATTTAACTTGGAACATGCCGAGGGTATAAGCATTAAGAACTTAAATATTTATATTTAAATAAAAAAATATGTATATTTAATATTATAACTAAATATATGAAACTTTTATAGAATCATATATAACTAAAAGAGTATCTTATTGGATTAGAGGTAAACAAAATTAGAGTTAATCACTCTACGGGTTTATAAATAGAGTATAAGATACTCAAATCCACAACAATTTTTGAAGAAACTCTAGTTGCCACTTTATCTCTTTATCTCTCTCTCTTCCATGAGCTATTAGTATAGTATTTAAGGAGAATTCTAGTAGGAGTGTTTGTGTGGATTTTTATAAAGACACTACTGTCACTACCATGTTCCGTGTTTACTTAAAAATTAATCCTTATTCATATTTTATATGTTTTTTTGAAACATGTATATTACAAAAGTAATTGAAAATTTTCCATACTCTATTGCACTATCTATATTTGATTCCCAATAATTGTATTAAAGCTGACTTGTGAAGCCTTGTTTTGAGTATCATGTTTGTTACTATAAGGATTATGTGTTCTAACTTTGCATGTTATTTCATTTTTTATATTTAAAACAATTTAGGATTACTTATTTTGCAAAAACTTTGTTGCCTTTTTGTTTTGAATGATAATTGCCATATTGACACTAGTTGTATGTTTTACATAGACAAACATGCTTGATAATGATTTATGTGTATTCTGTTTATAAGCATACAAATTATTGTATTATGTTTATGTCCTTCATGCGTACATATTTCTTTAGTTGTGACACATAAAATGCATCATGGAGATTTAAAAGAGAAAGGAGTAAAACAATTTGATAAGATACATTTCTTATTCTATGAAGAATCCTAACAGGAACACAAAATATTTTGCATTTTCTACCATGTAATCCTTCTTAAGGTATCATTTTTATGCTTATGCTTGAATAATAATTATTATTGTAGGTAAATTCTATTAATAACAAATATTGATCCCAACTTCTTGTATTCTAAGATACAAGCCCTCCATAAATCTTCTAATGATTAATAGTTCTCTCTATTTGTCCATTTGTTTAAGGATGGTATAAGAAACTTAACCTCATTTTAGTTCCCAAGGATTCATGAAGGCTTCTCCAAATTTTAGAACTAAATCTAGGGTCTTTATAAGATATAATACTTAAAAGTATACCGTGTAATCTAGCAATTTCTTTTATGTACAATTGAGTTAATAAATAATGTTAATAGCTAGAAAATGAGCAAATTTGGTTAATTTATTAACAATGTCCCAAATTAAGTCATGTCTAGATGGGGTCCCAGGTAATCCTATCACAAATTTCATAGAAATACTATCCTGTTTTCATTTGAGTATGTTTAAAAGTTTCAAATATCTAGCAAACTTTTGGTTTTCTATTTTAGACTTTTGACACAGACAAGTTAACACAAATTTCGTTACATTTTTCTTTATTCCATTCCACTAGAAAAATTTTCTAAGATCTTGATACATTTCAATAGTTCTTGGGTGTATACTCTTTTATGGGCTTCTTCAAAAATCAATTGTCTAAGAGCTATATCTTTTGGTGCGCATATTCTACCTCTAAACCTTGAAATTCTATCTTTTCCTTTCTTAAAATCCTTCATTTTTTACTTCTTGGATTTATTGTTCAATATATTGAAAATACTTATTAACCTTTTGAACTTCTTTTATTTGATCTTGCAATTCATTGGTTAATTTTAGCATTGACAGGCTAATTCTTCCAAGTCCACTTTCAACATTCAAAAACTGAGGTTTCTAAATTTCTCAAGCAATTTAACCTCTTTAATCATTAGAGTAGTGAGATGTAAAGTCTTACGACTTAAAGCATTTGCTACTATATTTACTTTTCCTGAGTGGTAATATAAACTCAAAATTATAATTTTTTATAAATTTTATCCACCCTATCTTTCTTATATTTAATTCTTTTTCGTCCAATGAATATTTTAAACTTTTATGACTATTATATACTACAAATTGTGCTATGTAGAAATAATATTTTCATATTTTAAGAGCAAATACAATGACAGCTATTTCTAAATCATGGATTGGATGATTAACTTCATGAAGTCTCAATTGTCTAGATGCATATGTTAGTACATTCTTTTCTTGCATTAAAACACAATGTAATCCGAACTTAGAAGCATCATAATATATCTCAAAAGCATATGGTTTATGATTACTCCTACATTTTTTTCTTTAGATAAAAGTATATCATAAAAGATAATATTAATAAAATATTTAAGATAAATTTACAATATTATTAAATTAATATATTTTTTTATAAAAGAATAATTTAAAAATTAATTGATGAGTAACTGTTTAAAAGTAATAAAAAAAATGAATCATATTAATTAATCTTCAAAAGGCACCATTTAAAAAATTAATAAATAAATATTTTTACTAAAAAATCATACTAGGAGAACATTGAAATATATAATAAAAATTTATTAAAAGTAATTTTTAATATATTATTTATTTGTAATTCTTTAACTATAGTTTAACAAGAAAAAAATTATATTGCACAGGAAATGAGTAGTACAGCCAAATGCCCTTATATAATTTTATAATTTTCAATTTATAAAGTAATTTATTATAATAGTCGCTAATATAACAATAATCAATCATTATTTCACTAAGTGAGATTCATTAGATGGATCATTGAGATATGTCAAAAATTAAATTTTTAGAAATCTGATTAATTAATTTAATTGTCACTAATCATTGCAAAAATTTAAAATATATTATTTTCTTTCTAACATAAAAATATAAGAAATTTTTTTTTAAAATTATTTGCTGCTATTGTTATTATTAAGGAAGCTAAAATATAGTTAAAAAAAAAATTCATATTGGTTGTGGCCCAAATTCGTTAGCCCATCATCTAAATCAGAAGCCTAATTTTCCTAAATTTCTTTACTGGCTTGTTTTCTTCGTTTTTGGTTGCAGGGCTGAACGATTTAAGTGTGAGTTTGCCTCATTTGTACGACTACAATAGAAATCACCATATTTCAAATCGAGTTATGATTTTTACTTCAATTTCAATCTTGCTGTGCCCTAATGAATCAGAATAAAATGTGAGAAAGAAAACTCAAGGATAATTTTTTCTAGTTAAGCTTACATTTTTTTAGGGTTTATGATGAATTTAAGATATGGAATTATTTTTAAAATTTAGAATCAACAAATTTAGCAAAAGCTTAAAAAATTGAAGAATTTTATTAGAGTTTGAAGAGGAAAAAATCGTTTATTTTTTTATTTTGAGCGTAATTGGACGTTTTAGTAATTTTTAAGTAACACATAATTTATTCAAGTTAATTTGTAAAATATTTGTATAAAAATCTGTGAATTTGTTATTAAAAAAATTAACAAATGACTGGATTTACTTAATTTTAGGACTTAATTAGTTTTAAAAAAAAATCAAGAGACCAAAATTGCACATAGTCTAAATTAAATTGACTAATATAAAATTAGATTATTTTAATAAATCAAGTTCTATATTTTAAAATTACTTTAGTCCAAACAAATGTGTTTCAAACCCATGTGCATGCTTGTGAACTAGAATAATGATATTACACGATATTCTAGGCCATGTTGGTCTTGCACTTGTTAGCTATGGAATGCTGCTCTGATTCACATTCTGTTTCTTCTCCAAGTATCTATTAATTTGGGGAGAAAATATATACAACTCTTGAGAGAGAGAAATCGATATAAATATTGCTTCTTTTATGTATGCATCATTTGCTTTATCCTCGGCCAAGCAATGATAAAATTCGAAAGCTTAACACCCTGAAAACAAACCCTTTAACCATACTTCTCATGAAGTACTGAAACATTATTTTGCACTCGAAAGTTTTAGAATCTTTTAAATTTGACATGACACCTTCTTTGCGTAGCTTCTAAAATGTTACACATTACCTACCATGAGCAATAGATTTTAATTTCCTTTTCATTTGGTTCTGCAATAGCTGCATAAAATTTTCATTTGGTAGATAAGTAGTCAGTTCACTACTTCAACACGGTTCTTGATCACAAAACAAGTAATTTTCATGTTAATTCAAGAGTATAAAATATATAAGCATGTTGATGCACAGCTATTAAACATTCCAAGACATGCAAGTACTCATGTCTGATTGAACAGTGGAAAGAAACGCATGTTTATTATTGCATTTTCATTGAAAGTAAAACACACTGGCAAATCAGCACAGAACAAATTGCTGTCATTGGAGCTAGAAAGGAAAACAAACCTCTATGGAGCGGTTGGATTTGTAGGACCAAGCAAGGGTGAGTATAAGAAAGGACCCTAGATAATGGTCAACCTTTTTATAGAACCAAGATCCAAATGAGAGTAACTTTTTTTGTTGCACGAATTTCTGACTTTGTCATAGAGAATTGTGTAATTTGAGCTGCCAACTTTCCTAAAATAGCAATATCCATCGCTTGTATATCTGTAATCTTGATATGTTTCCCCCACTCCCTTAACAACCAAATTACTTTTGACAACCATAGTACCCTGGCCGTCCTGAAGATTCTTGAGAGAGCTCTTTGAAAATCCAAAAGCTGAACTCTTAGACTTGTTCTCTTCAAATCCCAATGTAACATTCGAAACAGATAAATAAGTATCATCATCCTGATCCACTTCATCCGAGTCCAAGTATAAGGAAAAATTTCTATACGTGTCATGAACAAAATCAACAAAGGGTGATGGAAGTTTGGCATGAACACTGTCATTGAAAAGAATTACTTGATTAACAATTTGCTCAATCCCATTCTTACCCATTACCATCGAATTGTTGTAAGCGAAATCTTGAACAAAACTGGTTGTAATATTCCCATAGGAAGATCTAACCCATCCAGTAGACAAAATGGACCTCTTTGCACCAGTCCAGAACTTTCCATTCAAACCTTCAAAATCAGACACTAGAGACTCAACCAAAGGCTTGTCAACAAGACTCACAAGTTCTCCTTCTGTCCTACTGCTCTTTCCATCCAACCAAAGATGCAAATTTGCATCTATAAACCAAACATTCAACGCATTCGTCACACTGAACCCCAGTGAATGACTCTTTCCATCCAACAGGGTCCCCAAAAAAGGTGTCACCTCAATGTCATAGGATGGAAGATCAAATGAACCAATCCCAGTAATAGGTCTCCACAAGAGAGGATTAACCCCTCCTGTATAAATCACAGTAAAAGGCCAAACAGAACCAACAACCTTCCCATCAAGAGTAATCACAACCTCCCTAAATGAACCACCCCCAGGAACATCACTAAGGTTGTTTGCAACAAGATACTCATCTGGGGGATTAGTATACCAAAATTCATCCCTCTCATGAAACGAAACATACACCTCCAACACAGCCCTATAAGCATTCTGAGGAACCTCAAATTCCTTCAAACCCTCATAAGTGGAATTGTCAACAACAAACCACAACCCATCATTCAATGGAAGATTTCTAGAAATGGGTAGGACCAAATCCGCAGGGAAACCATCTCCAAATGCTGAAGTTCCAAACTTTGACCCATCATTCGCAGAAGGGTAAAAATAAAAGGTGACATCAACATGGTAAACCCCAGTATAAGTTTTGTCCACAAGATTTCCCAAATAAACAGCAAGGGTTTGGTCACCTAACAACAGAGAATGGTACCTTGTGATGTCCTTTTGAACACTCCAAACAATACCAGTGGCTCTTGGCTCTGCAGTGCAGCTTCTGAGAAGCTCAACCCCACCAAGCCAAACACCAAAAATGCGATCAAATTGTCTTCCTTTGCATGTGGCCTTCCACTCAAAAACGATTTTGGAGAAACTCTTAAAAGGGCAATGAGAAGGAGGGGTGTAGTTGGCAACAACTGGGGGTTTCCCATATGTGAAGCCAAAGTCATGGTGGAGAATGTGGTGTGAGCAAGGTTTTGTTTGGGGGACTTCAATGGGTGTGGTTACTTCAAAGAACTCAGTGGGTGGAGGAGGATCATTGGAGGATGTGGGTTCAGAGGGAAAATCTGAGGTTAATTGCTTGATTTTGTGCAGATTTGATGCAGAAATGGGGTGTTGGAGAAGGTAGAGAGCGAGCAAGAAGAGGAGGAGGAAATAACTTTCCATGTTACGTTTATGGGGTGATAATTGCTAGGCGAAGGCTTAGGGAGAAGTTCCATTTTATTACATTTAAAATACAATATCCGCATGTTGGGGTTAATCCCAAGAGATGCATAGGAATGGAGATAGTATAGAATTCAGGTGGAATATTTAGATTCCTTTAATAGAGTTTGGTTAATCTTATTTTTTTAATATAGTATTTAAATATAATAATTTTTTATTAAAAAATTTATTATGTTAAAATTATAAAAATATAATAAATATTTATATTTTAATAAAATATTATGATTAGTAGTTGTTAAAGTGAATATTTTTTACATTATTTTAATTAAATTAAAATTATTAATTTATAAAAATAATAAATATTTTTATTAAAGTAAATTTTAATTTAAAAATTAATAATAATGAGAATAATGAATAATACTAAAATTTGTTATGAGAAATATGGGTTTCAAACCCATATATTGGTAGTGACATTTTTGTGATATAGAGGGAAAGAAAATAAATTATAAATGATATGATAAAAATATATTAAAAAAATTATGAAGTATTAGTATTTTGGTCGTATATAAGTTAACTACGTATTAGTATTAAATAGTATTATGATATGCAAAATAAAATTAACATAAGTAGTATTACTAAATATTATATGCAGTAATTACAATACATTTTATATTTTATAAAATATAATATATATTATTTGATAAATGATTTTCATATTAATAAAAAATTATTATTAAATACAAACAATTATTAATATTTAATATCTAAAATATACACTAAAACATATTTCACATAACCTATTTTAAAATAAAAATAATATATATATATATATATATATATATATAAAAGAAGAGATTATATTATTTTAAGAGTAATTTTATCAAAATTACTTTGTTTAATAAATTTTTCATAAATATTTAGTCTTATTAATCTAACCGATAAAATAAGACATAAATTATATTTAAATAAAACACTCTTTTTATCAAAATTAATATTATTTTTAAAAATTAATATTATTTTTAAAAATAAATATTTATTTAATTTTTTGACTTTTTTACGAATATATATATTAAAAATTAAAAATAATTTTACATATATATAATTGTTTACGGTGAAAAATGACAATTTGTAAATAAATAATCCAAAAATCAATCTGGGGACTGGATTTAGGTCCTCTTTGGGTTCTTTTAAGTGTGTTGTTAACGTGATGCTCAAATTAACGGTGTAAAAGAGTATTAAGTAAGGATAGGGAATAGTAATTGTGCAGAATTGAATCAAACGTAGATGCTTTTACAAAAATGTAGTGAACAGGAAACAAACAGCGTACAAAGATATAAGCAACAAGCATTGAAATTAAAATGCAGAAAGGTAAATGCAGGAATGTAAAGGTGCTGGAATGTAAACGTATGACTCCTCACAACGGCGAACAATGGCCACCGTGGGTCTCCTTGTAGCTGGTGTCTAGCGCGGTGCAGGGTTTCAGCGTCTCAGAGTGTTTAGGTGCGGTGTCTGGTTGCAAAAAGTCATCCTTTGTACAATGGTGTTTTGGAGTATTTATAGACATGAAGACCACCACCGTTCTCCTCCTTTTGCGGGCACTTCTTAGTAACTACCTTCAACTGTTGATGCCCATTATCCACGATTGCTTGTGATCGTGTTGTTGGTTGGGGCTTCTTTCGTAACCGCTATCGCCCATGATCTCCTTTGCGTAGTGGTGAATTTTGATAACTGCTGGTAACTGCTTTTAGATTTTTTCAATGACTTGACCTATCAAGACTCGCGTTTTTTCTATTTTTCAAGTATTTCTGGGAGAAACCTAAGATGCTCCTTTAATGTTATGACCTTAGAATAGTTTCTTCTTGACTTCTCTTTTCGATCCATTCTAGAGTTTTGAGAGTCTGTCTTGGTCTTGTGAACTTAGAACATTTTCTTTGCTCATTTCTGTTTTTCGAGCAATTCTGGAGGGACTCTGGAGCTCAGTCAGGTTTATGGACTTAGAATATTTTCTGACCACTTCTTGTTTTTCAAGTAGTTTTGAGTGTCAGGGACTTGGAAACTCCTCAAAAATTCCTTGAAAAGCCATAAGTTTTTGTGGACTTAGAATATTTTCCTGTTAATCTTGTTTTTCGAGCAGTTTTGGGTGTCAGTGACTTGGAAACCCCTCAAACTACTCGAAAAAGCCTTTAGTTTTGTGGACTTTGAATATTTTCTTGTCTTTCAAGCAGTTTAGAGAAAAACCAACAATATGACAAAAAATCTTCTAAAATAGCTCGAAATGTGTCCCTTTTAATAAAACTAAAGGTCTTGGATGGTCTTTCAATATTCTCTTATGTTTAGGCTTATCTTTTGGCTCCTTCTTGACCCTCAAAACTTGTTGAAATGTAGTTTCCTTCAAGATGATTTTTTAACTTAGAAAATTTTCCTTATCCTAAACAATAATATTAAAAATTTGATATTAAATTATAACAATTTTTTATAATTAAAATTTATTTTTTGGAAAAATTATAGTTAAAATAAAAAAAATTATAAAAAATTTAAAATTATATTTTATAAAATAAATAAATTTTTTTACTAAAAATGTTCATATAATATTTTTTTATAAAATGTATTAAGTTATACTTTTAAATAAATATTTCTTAAAATACTTAAAAAGCATAAGGTATGAGTAAAGAAATAAAAAAAAAAAGAATGTTATTTCTTAAGTCATCACCCTTTTGGAAATAAGAATAGAATAGGATAACTTAAAAGAAAAGAAATACTGAAAATAAATTCGGAGACCATAAACTATCACATAAGTTTACAAATTTATTTATTTTCGTTTGCATAAACTTTTGCTCCATTTGTATGCATCTTTATGTGCCAGCGTCTTCGTGTTTCTGCATATGCTCATGCATGTCTGTGTGTGCCTTGAGAGGCACATCTTAAGTCAAATATTTGAAAAAGATATCACTAAATAATTTAGAAAAATGTTAAATGGTACGAATTTATTCACACAAAAATTTTATACTGTCATTCATTTGTGTTTTTTTTTTTTTTTGTAAAAGATTAAATTTTATTTTCATTTATAATTTACTACGCGGAAAGTTATAAAAAAATACGTGTTTTAGTTTTTTTTTTTTTTTCATTTCATATTTTTTGTGTAGAATTGGTGAATAATTTAAGACTAAAATTTATATTAATTATATTCTATTTTATTATTATTATTAATAATGCGTTAAAAAAGAAATGAGAGAGTGATTCTACCTTTATTTAGAGAACTTTTGAAATAATTTTAAAATTTTACATTATACAAGTGTGTTGCATTTTAGAGTATAATTAAATAATCACTTTTAGAAGTGGAGATTCGAATTCACAAGCGAAAGGATTCTCTTATTTTCACTCTCAAGAGTCTTCAAATTGAACTTTCAAGAACAGTTTAATATGAATCACTCCTTAACATCAAATTTAAAGAATGTTCTTTGAATGCTCTTTAAAATATAAAAAAAATTATATGACAGTTTGTTAATATTTTCACATTATCACAAATTTAATTCATTACATTTGATAGAAAATAGCAATAATTCACTAATAGTTAGTAACATTTCAGTATCCCAAATACAAAATACAATTGATGTCCCAAAATTTTAAACCAACAAAACAAGACATATGACAATTGTGAAGCTTGTATTTTTATAAATCATTTTGTAATAATTTATAAAAAAATTTAAAATCTCAATTAGATTATTATCTCACCTTGTCTCAATTGTAATATGAGAAAATTTATAAAAAATTTATTTTTATAAATCATTTTGTAATAATTTATAAAAAAATTTAAAATCTCAATTAGATTATTATCTCACCTTGTCTCAATTGTAATATGAGAAAATTTATAAAAAATTTAATTTTTTATTTTTTTTTAGTCAATCCTTAAAATTTAATAATTATTTAAAATAATATAATTTAAAACATAATTAAACATTTCTCGTCATAATATAACTTACTAAAGAAAATGATATTTGAATATAGCATTAAACAATTATTTCATTTGTAATATTGAAATAATGAATGCAATGTTTACAAATTATGGTAAAAAATACATTAGAATTTAAAATTAAATAATTACAAAAAGAAGAAAAACTAAAATACATTAAGTTCCAATGAGCAGAGATCACTCCCACATCAAAATATGGAAAATATAATCATAGTCTAAATCAATCTAACCAGTCTTTTTAGAATTATCATACTTTATTTCTTGAATATGTAGATAAGGATGAGTCTTCTAGTTACAACTAAAATCAAACTAAAATAATGGTTTAACGAATTCACAATAGATCAAACATGATGACAATTATATTAACAATATTTTAAAACATACACTAAGATAATACTATTTAATATATGTTTACATAAATCATTATGTCATAATATATATATATATATATATATATATATTATAATCACATAAATTAATATATTACAACACTTGTATTATAATCATACTTATCAATATATTACAACACATATATTAGAATCACACTAATCAATATTTTACAACACATATTATAATCACATTATCATTGCTCATAGGATCCCTTGAAGTCTTCCATGAATATAGATAAACGTTGGTTAGCTGTAGTAACACGGATACAACGTGTGCCAACACGGTTATTTTTAACAAAAATATAGTCAAAAGTACAAGTTAGAAAATGACTATGAAACATGCAATGTTTTTGTTCTTTTTAATTTATGTGTATCAACTACGAATAGTATTCACCACCCTCATTTCTCCCATATTCCCAAATCGGCTCTATCTTCCATACTCTTAATGTATTACTGTAACTATCCATATGTATTTTCATAACCTTTTGTGATAGTACAACTTTCATCCTTTTTCATTTCTTATAATGATATGAATTCATGTTTTTCATCATAAAATCATTAGTCATGCCGATGGTTAGACACCTTCAAACTCAGTTCAAATCATATTATATTTTTCAAAAATCATATTTCCACATCCTTCAAAGAATAATCAAACGTACATT